CGCCCTGGAATGGTGGAAAAGGGAGAAAATTATGGTACAGAGAGCTCCTGGCCTGGGGCAGAATTGGGGACTGTAGCATGGGGGGGGGGAAGAAATGGGGGAGACACAGAGCTCCTGGCACGAGGGTGGGGGCTGGGGTGTCCCTGAAATAGAGGGGGATGGGAGGGTGGCCGCCAGGGACCTTGTGGGGACAGAGGGATGCAAAGAGTCCCTGGTGGATGCAATGTGCTTGACCTACAGAAGGAACAAAACGTGGGCCTTCCTCTCGTTTAGCCCCCGAGGAGTCCAACCCAAACCCACAAAGGGTTGAGCAGAGTCAGGATGAAATTGTATGATCAGTAATAGGTTGTTATTTAGTGTTTGCTTTGCAATGGTGCTTAGAGACCTCAACCAACATGTCGGGCCCACTGTGCTAGGCCCTGTACACTAGAGCTGGCGGTTTCAGTTTGTGAGAAGTTTCATTGTTTCAGAATTGGCTTCATTCCAAACCAAGACAGATCAGGACTGCACCTGGGCCGGGGACCTGAGGGCTTCCAGAGTCCCAGAGGCCAGTTACAAGTAGACCAGCCTGGGGAGTCACTGGCCCAGGTCTCAAGAGGCCCTGGGATCTCCAGCCCAGGACAGTCTGCATGGCAGAGCGACCCCAGAGCTGCACCCCTGGGAGCTGGTCCTGGAACTTCCAGGCTTCTAACTCCATGGCAGGGACACTGGAAGCGCCAAGAGCCCTGGCTCGAGCAGGGAGCCTAGCAGACAACAAGAGCCCCTAGAGACCTAGCTCTGCCACAGCGTGGGGAGCCCACCTGCCCCCAGACTCGACTTCCCGAGCTGGTGCTCACAGGACAGAAGAACATAAGAATGGCCAGACTGGGTCAGACCAAAGGTCCACTTAGCCCAGTGTCTGCCAGTGGTCAGTGCCAGGTGCCCCAGAGGGAATGAAGAGAACAGGGAATCATCCAGTGATCCATCCCCTGTCGCTCATTCCCAGCCTCTGGCATCCCCATCCCCACCCATCCTGGCTAATAGCCATTGATGGACCCATCCTCCAAGCACTTATCTAGTTCTTTTTTGAACCCTGTGGCTCTTGGAACACCAACAGAAACTGGTGTGTGTTTTGATGAAAGTGGAGTCAAATCTCTAATAAATTTGGTGAATCAGTTCTCTTCAGTGCATTGGCATTTTCAGGCTTAGCTAAGTTTTGCCAGAACATTTGCAATCAGCTCTACTGTACATGGACATAGTGAGAGAGCCCCCGAGCCAAAGAATTTACACTCTAAATAGACAAGACAGACAAAAGGGGGGGGGGAGAATGGGCAGACGTACAAACAGTAGATTGGGAAGTGAGACACAGAGAGACTAAAGGACTAAATCCACACAGGGCTTTAGGCCCTTAAATCCAACACCTGGGGGCCATGGAGATCCTCAAACCCCCTTCTCAGCTGCCGCCTGGCCCTGGAGCTGCTGAAGTTTCCACCAGTAAAACCAGTGCTAAAGACTTGCTGACACTCTCTCGCTATGCTGTAAGCACAGCCCTGCCCAGAATAACAGTTGCACCCTGATCCTCACTCCCCTGCCATTGCCAGCAGAAGTGCATCACGTCTCAGAACTGCCCATTCCACGTCCTTCAGGGAATCCCATTTTTCTGTAACGAAGGAGAATTGTTCACCCTCTCTCTTGTCCTGCATTGGGCTGGTGGAGGGAAATAGGTCTCAAGAAGGGTTTGAATGTAAGGAATTTGGCAGGCGTGTCAGGCATACACAAGGTTCGGGTAAGATGTCACATTGTTGGAGGAGGTTTGTCTAGACTGAAGCTTCTGGGGTTACCTGCTCACTAAACAGAGCAGAAAAGTCTTGACATGCACGAAACAGCTCTATATGGGGCCAAACAAAAGAACATCCATTTAAACTCTTAACAAGCAGGGGAAACTAAACAGCAGGACTGGAGAGATTCATTTTATACATGTGCCCTTCTCTGCCGGCACATTGAACTCTTTCTCAATGAAGGTGCCATCACCTGTGTTTCTCTTTCTGAAGAAATTACCCACCTGATGGTGAATCAAACCCCAACCAGTGTCAGTGATTTAGAAGGCTCATAACTTACCATGACGTGTACATTCAAGACAGTCAATCACCACAGCACCATGTATGTGCGATGGTATAACTATGGGACTGAGGGACTAAAGAAAGAGCTGGTGAATGAGAGCGATGTGATCACAACCCTGCATTTGGGCAATGGGTTTGCCTCTCTCACTTTGAAGAATGCGAATTCATCTAATACAGGAACCTACGTGTGTGAGGTGGGGATCACAGCAAGGAACCTCTCTGGGAATGGAACAGGAACCCAAGTGACCATCGAGAGTAAGTGCCGGATTTTCCTACCTGATCTTCTTGGGGAAATGGAGGCGAGCGAGTGAGAACAAGAGCATACAGCTCCTGGAAGGTGTTGAGTGTCTTCAGTTCCACCTTCAATGGGAGCTGAGGGTGCTCCATGCCTGCCCAGAAGCACTAAACTCCTTGCAAGATAGAGCCTTGTAGGCAGGTATTAAGGGGAACAATGTTTCCATTTTAGATCCTTTACAGCCAAATGATTCACATGGTGTCATAACTATAAAGGGAAGCTGTCCTGTGTACAGTACTATAAAAACCCTCCTGGCCAGAGTCTCCAAAATCCTTTTCCCTGTAAAGGGTTAAGAAGCTCAGGTAACCTGGCTGGAATCTGACCCAAAGGACCAATAAGGGGACAAGATACTTTCAAATCTTTGGGGGGGGGGGAAGGCTTGTGTTTGTGCTCTTTGTTTGGGAAGTC